CGAAAATTCCTTTAACTTCAAGCTGTTTGCAGCTTTATTAAAGCTGCTTCAAAGCACAGCCAAAGCTTTAATGTGCTTGAAAAGCTCTTCAGCAGACGGTCTTGTAAAGTTCGTCTGCTACTGGTGCGACCTGCTTGATGCCAAAGTCAAATAAATCAAGCCAGATACATTATTCTCATATATATATGTATATATATTATTTAGGTTTTTTTTGTTTTGTTTTATATTTTTGTTTTTTTTTTTTTTGGTTTTTTGAACAATAATTATTATTTGTAATCATTTATTATTCATCGTCATAATCATAATAATTTTCTATACAAATACATTCAATAACAACAATTTATTTTTATTATTTTCACTTGTTTTTCACGTTTACGTCATTGTTTAATTATTTTACAATTACCATAATTATGTTGTTTTTCTTTTTTGTTTTTGTTTTTTTCTCATTTATATGCCATATTATTATTATTATTATTAGTATTATTATTACATAGTATTACTATTACATTATTTCTCGATTTTAGATACGATTTCCATTTGGGGTTTCGTTATTTGTTTTTAGACTTAAGTAAATCGCATCGACCGTGGCCAAGTGTTGTGTTTTTTAAGGGGGATTCTTTACGAAAAGTTTACTCTTAGGCTGCTCAGTTTTATTTTATTTTATTTTTTTTTTGGTTTTAATTTGGTTTATAGTTAAAGTTTCTTTTTATAATTTAAATTTGTTTTGCTTTGTTTTTTTGGTTTTATTCTCTATGTGGCTTTGTTGTTGTTAATTAACAAGTACAGAAGATTTCAGTTTGAGTTTTTAAAGTTTTTAGCTGCTTTCTTAATAATTTCTCATTTATTAATTAACTAACAAACTTGACGGTTTGTTGGCATCTTGAGAGTGTGTTTGAGCTTGGGTGGCTGGGGGGGTTGTGTGTGTGTGGGGGGCGGGGAGGTGTGTAGTGGACTGTGGATGTGGGCTTCAGACACATTTGAAATACTTTTGTTAAGAGTATTTGAAATAGACTTCAGGCATTCGCTTTAAATTTGATTTTGTTTTTTTTTTTTTGGTTTTTGGTTTTTAAATTTTAATTAAATTTGACATGAGTTTTTTGTTGTTTTTAATTATTTATAGGTTTTTTTTTGTTTTTTTGTTTTTTTGCTGTGCTCGCGCTTTGTTGATGATATCAAATGCGTTGCATTTGAATAATTTCTCGCTTGGCACATAAATTATTATTTTGTAAGTGTTTTGTGGCCTAAAAAGAATTTTGGTTTTTGCGTTTCCCTCATGTTAAAATTTTCCTTCTCATAGTCAATTTGAATTTTTCATTTTTTTATGTTTGTTTTCATTTTACATACATTAAATAGTTTATATATATTTTTTTGTGGGTTTTTAGTTTTTGTAAAAAATAATTGCTACCTTGCCATAACATTTTTGGGTTGTTTTTTTTTTCTTTTTTGTTTTTTTTGTTTTGCTTCTTTCGTTTTTGCCTTCGCTCAGCTGCTTTTTTGTTGTTGTTGTTTTTAGCAGCTGCTTCTCGTTTACAAAATTATTGTATATTCTTATCATTTTTTAATTTGTTTAAAGATTTTATCATTTATAATATTTTAGTTTTCGTGCTAATTATTTGTATTGATTTCGATTTTGGGTCTTTGGTTTTTGGTTTGGGTTTGGGTTTCAAGTATTCGCATTCATTGAAATGACCTTTAACATTACGAGTATGAAATGTCCAAAAATGATGCAATGGCATTTGCTCAATTGTTTGTTTGTTTTTGTTTTTGCTTTTTACTTTTTACTTTTTGTACACAAAACTTGAATGTAAATGTTGCTGTAAAGTAATTTCATGCTCGATCCGTATTCCAGATACCACAATCGTATTATCGTTAATAACATTATCATCGTGTTACCAATTTCAACTAGTTAGATATTTCACAGCGGATCTTTAGCTGGATCCGATCGTGAGATGCATTCAAAATCGACGCAATTTCGCCAGCGTTTCTCTCGCAAATCGCCTCTCGTTTCTCGTTTCTTGTTGTTTATTGTTTACATTTAAATAAATTAACATTTAATTTATTATTTAGGCATCTATTCATGTTAACTATATTATATATATCAAAAAGTTTTACAAAAGTACACAATAATTCATAACAATTTGCATATGCGCGCAATTTGTGCCAGCGGCTCTCGCTTTGAAATGTTTTCATTTTTTTCCTCTTTTGTTTTCGTTTTTGTTGTTGTCATTTTCATTTTTTTCTTGCCCCCCAAAACGTGTGTTTGTTAATTTTCATCTCATTTAATTTGAATTGCACACACGTAAATCGAGTACGATTACAAGTTGGGGTTCATATCTCAATTTTTCAGGCAAACAACAGAAATACCAAAGAACTCTCATAAATTATATTCAAGAACAGAGATATAGAAACATGAAATTCATTGCATACTTTCCTTCAACGGTGTGTGAGATGTGTGTCTGTGATAGAGATGTGTGTGTGTGTCTGTGTGTGTATTTACAAAGGCAGGTTTCCTTTCTTTAAAAGTTGTATTGAGTAATTGATATGGAAATCAGAAGTGAAAGCTGTTTAGCTCAGGTGGGAACGAGAAGCTTAAATTTCAAAATGAAGTATCGAATTCATTTATGACACAATGACACTAGCTGAAAGTGGGCAAGTGAGAAGTAAAGCTTAAGAGCTTTAAGCTTAAAGTGAGCTTTAATGTGCTTTCAAATAAAAACTCTCTGTTAAAAGCAAAAATTGAAAGTGTTGAAAATCAATTTGGAAAAAAGCTGCTTTGACAGAATAATCTGTTACTTAATCTGTCAGCCAGTGCTACCAGCAACTGTTTTAATTTATTTTATTTTTTTTTTTTGGTAACTACTTTTACATTTTGTTATCTACAACAACACCTAACATACCACACTAAATGTGCTGTTCCACCTTTTGTTAATTAGTATTGTTTAAGAACAGAGACACTTTTGCTTTGATTGATTAAAGTAATGCGTCAGTTCGGCAAAGTATGTTAATTGAAGAAAGCTTTTGAAATTGGGTTCCCAGTACTGCCTGCAGTGCCGTAACCTTAAAGAAAACAATAACCGAAAGCTGCATAGAATCAAGTAGTACCCAAAAAAGCGTAGTGCCGCAAAACTTTCGAGTGTTTCGAGAACTTTGAAATGGTGAAAAGTGAGTGACAGATTGGTGAGATAGTTAAGTGGGGTGTTTTTAAAGTTTTTTCTTTTTTTTTTTTTTTTTTTTTTTTTTTGGGATTTTCTTTGGTGAAGATAGTGTTTAAAAGTTGAGAGTCGAGTCGAGTCATGTTTTTGGTGGTACATGCTTAATTCAATAGGCAATTAGTTAATACCAAGTACATCTATGTTTTGTTTCATTTAGTAACTAATTATTCTCATATAATACTTATAAGTATATCATAATGTTTTCTTCTTTCATTACTTTTCGTCTTTGTTTTTTTTTTTTATTGTTTGCCTATAGGTTCAATTGTTTTTTGGTTTTTCTTTTGCAAGTATGTTCGATAAATTGTTAATTATAAATATATATAATATATATATTTATGTTCTTTACGTTTATGTTTATGTACGCTACATAGAGTTAACTTTATTACAAAAATTATTATTATTGTTATTATTATTATTTGTATGCACTATTTATATAGTAGGTATGTTGTTGTTGTTGTTGTTGTTACTGCTGCTTCTTCCTTTTATCATCTTATTCGTATATATTCATTCCAATCTGTTATATCTGTGTATACCTAGGCTATACTTTAGATGCCCTAAACTCGTTTATAATCGTATGCATATGCTGTTTCTTTTGCGCTTCTCTCTTGGCTCCTTCGTTTCTCTCGCTTCTATGTGGCTTATGAACCTTAAAGTTTAAGTTTACTGTGCGCTTTATATTGTTTTGTTTTTTTTTGGGTTTTTTTTTGGGTTTTTTCATTTGTTGGTTATACAAAGTTCATGTTTAAAAACTAAATAAAGACAATCTTAGACACATTTTTGGTTGTTTCTTGTTCTTCTGCTGCCTCCGCAAAATTCTCTATAACATCCTTCAAATCGCTATATCATTTTTTCTCTTGACTATGTTATCATATTTGATTTGTTTTTCTTTTGTTTTGTTTTCTTTTTATTTTATTTTTTAAACTAATTTATGCAATAAGTAAAGTTTTTCATGTTTCATATTTGTTTTTACCTTTGAAATTGATTTGATAAGCGGTCTATATGTCAATTTGTTTCTGTGTGTGTCTGTGTCTTTCTGTGTGTGTGTGTGTGTGTGTGTGTGTGTGTGTGTGTGTGTGTGTGTGTGTGTGTGTGCCTGTATTGTATCTCTATGTCTGTGTGCGTGTGTATTTTTGTTTCGGTTTGTTTATCGGATTTGTTTTAAAGTTGTTATTAGGGAATTTTCTGCTAATTATTTATTTTATTTGGTTTGCAGCGAGTCGTTTTTATTTTTTATTGAAATTCTTTTAGTCTAGTTGTAAATTTCATTTCGTGTTCGTGTGTTTGTTGTTGTTTTTTTTTCGTTATACTTAGCTAACCTAAAATGTTCTCTTTTCTTTTTTGTTTTATTATATTTTTGTTTATCCGCCTTTATTTACGTTTATAACTATGTATATTTATGTATCGCTTTTTTTTTGGTTTTTGGGTTTTTTTCTCATATACTTTTGTTAAATGTTTTTGTTTGTGATTTTTTGGGTTTTTTTATTCTTTGTTGTTGTTGTTTATTTTCGTTTAATGTTTACCTAAAAAACCTATTTTTGTGGCAGTTGTTTTTTGTTTAATTAAATATTAATATTCTTTGTTTCTAGTTGTAATAAAATATGCTATTTGTTTTTGTTTTTTTTTTTGCTTTGTTTAGTTATTTTCAATAGAGATTTATAATTTATTTACTTTCATATTTGGTTTCATTTGTTATTTAATCATTTTGTTTTTCTTTATATATTTCACTTGAAAGAGGACCATAAATATTTAAAGTGTCTGGTTTGCTTCTCCTTTGCGTTTTCGTTCCCATTTCAATACATTTTCCATGTCTCATTTAAATTTTCGTTACGTTTCCTTTTAACGGCTTTGGCTCCAAAACAAATTGGCAGGGGAAACGCTCTGCAATTTCTTTCTTATTTGTTTTTTTTTTTGTTAATTTATTTTTGTTTTTTTTTTTTTTACACTCAACTTTTTTTGTGTTTGTTTTCGTTTTTAATTAGCTAGCATTACGAGTAATTTTCTAGAGTACGAAATACAATTAATGACATTTTCATTTTGTTTTTTTTTTTTTTTTTTGTAAACTGCAAATCTCTGTGAAAATCCGCAATTTGTGTGTGTTTCTCTGTGTATGTGTGTGTGTGTGTGTGTGTGTGTGTGTGTGTGTGTGTGTGTGTGTGTGTGGCCGCATACTTATTGCATGCACTATAAGGCGCCATTTGAGTTGATGGTTGCCGCATTTCCGCCGAACCACTTCCATCTTCGCCACCAATCGTTTATGTTGTAGTTGTAGTAGTAGACATAACGGTAATTCTTATCATACCTATTCCTATCGCTGCACTTGATTCGTATTTGTAGCTGCTGCAAGTCTCTATAGTTAATTATACGACTACGATCCCGCGACCTGACTCGACTCAACTCTCGCTTGCATTTTAATTTGCTTCTGCTGTTGCAGCGAAAGTAACGCACTTTTCTACACATATTCAATGGCCACGCCCATAGCCATGACCATGCCCACGCCCATGCCCACACCCAAGCGGACGGCCAGGACCATTGGTGCCTGTCGCTGGCAGCGAAGCGTGCACTTCCGTTTCCGCTGTCGTCGCGCCAGCGCCGAACGCTGCTGGCGCCGTGCTGCGCCTCCGGGCTGGGAGTCGCTGTGGCTAACAGCTCGTGGCAGCTGGCCGGACACTGGTCGACGCGCGCCGTGCCGCGGGCACGCCCGCATCGCTGTCGCGCCGCCCCACAGCTGCTCAGCAGACCGAGCAGGGCGCTTAGCCAGACGAGCAGCTGCGTCGGCGGCGACGGCGCCACACCGGATGCATAATAGGGTATCGTGCAGCGCGTGGTCACCGACGGCACCGCCGCGCAGCCGCCGGACAGCGGCCGCTCCGGCATATCGCTGCCCCCATCGTCGTCATAGTAGTACAGGCCATCGTAGTGGGCATAATAGGGCAGCCGCTCCAGCAGCTCCGCGCCGGGCTCCATCGCATACGAGACGTTCCGCAGCGCCAGCGAGACGCTGGCCGCACGCGCATGCTCCCCGGGCGGCGAGTTCAGCGTCAGGGTTATGTTGTGCACGCGGCGGCCGCTCGAGCTGTTGTTCGTGTTGTTGTTGCTGCCGCTGGGATCGGAGGTGGGCGCAAAATCCTGGCAGACGGTGCAAATGCCCTCAGTGGGTCCGTTGCAGTAGCTGTAGCAGCAGTCGTTGGGGCCGTAGCTGGATTTCTTCAGCTGCTCGCCAGTCTCGGGTATGTTTTGATCTGCAATTGCGGATAGCAAATGTGGAGCGCATGAAAATCTAAGCTCCAATTCATCCACGCCTTGCCCTTAAACCCTAATGCTTACATATACATTTACATTTACACACTTAGTAAAGAATACAAAAGTAAGACAAATAATCTCTGCAGATGAAATACAAAAGCTTGCATAAAACAATTCAAATTATTTTTATAATAACAATTTGTTGAATAAATCATAAATCATAATTTCCACATTTGCAAATTTTCAATATACTTAAAAAAAATAAATAAATGATAAATACAAACAATTTTAACAAACTTCTAGAAGTGAAAATTATTTAAATACTCTGAAACTTGAAACTTGAAAACACTTCCCGAATTTTATAATTCCAATCGGATATTTTCATAAGGATTCCATTAAAGTAAGGAGAACTTATAAATCATAAAATAAATAGTTTGTATATAAATATATATTAAATATATATAAATATAAACACTCAAATAGCAAACCGTGCTCAAAAAAAAGGAACTGAGTACTTTATAATTAATATTAATATTGAACTCAAGAAATGTCAAATAAATATTGTTTTTATGCTTAGCGCTTTTTTGGCATAAAAAGAAGAAGCAGCAATGAGAAAATTATTGTAAAATAAAATCAACTCTAAAAGCGAATTGTTGCAGTTAGCGTGTTTCCACTGTATCAATAACCAAAGCAATATGTATATTAAATAAGGAGAAACTAGGTATTCGGCTTGCCGAAGAGTTAATACCCGTCTAGTTGGAGATTAGTAAGTACGTTTAAGTAGAGTTAAGCTTGTAAATGCTGATGAGAATATTCTGGAAAACAGAATAATTTGCCTTACAAGAATCTACTTTTCGACCGATTGTGCCTATGACAGCTCTCATATGATAGAGAGAGATATTTTGCATATATTTGGCCGATATGTTGCTCCGATTGTTCCTAGGGCAGCTATATGATATAGAGATGCGATTCGAACAAGTTACAAGATGATAGCTTTAACATGGAGAGAATAATTCGCATAGAAATAGACAGACGGATGAACGGACGTATGGACGGACGGGCTGAGGGATGCACGGACAGAAAGACATGGATATATAAGCTCGGCTGTTGATGCATATCTAGAATATAGATATATATATTCTATGGGTTCGCAGACGTCTCATTCTACGTGTTACACCATAGGAAAAGTATATGAGCTCTACAATTCTATAAATATATTGAAAATGATTTACCTAGGCATACAAATGTCGGCTCGCCGGCATATTGGGTGGGCAGCGCGGGGGCGCGGTCGGCGGGCAGCAGATAGGGGCACTTTTGTTCCACAGTTTGGCACACGCTCAGGCAGGGTCGAATGCGGCGGCGCTTACGGAACTCTGCCTTGCGTGTTGATCTGCGAATGGGACAGGAAATTAGTTTAAATATTAAAAGTAAATAGAATCAATTTAGTAACCTCTTTTGTAGTTTTGATATCACTGGATCCGCTGCGCTGGGATCCGCATTATTGGCAGTCGATATGAAATTATTGAATTGTTCGTCTTCCTCTTTTTGACGCTGAGCAAGGGCGGCTCGGCTGTTGCTGTTGTTGTTGTTGTTGTTGTTGTGAAACTGGAACTGGAACTGGTATTGGAACTGGGTCTGGGCACGGGTCTGGGTCTGATGCTGGCCAATGCCAACGACATCGTAGAACGAACGAGCCACATTGGCATTTGAAATTTTGTTTTGCGGCTCATCGCTGGGCTCATTGTCCTCGTCATGCTGTTGATTAATCTGACGCTCGTTCATGTTATTGCCGTTCTTTGATTTATTATTATTGCTGATTAATTTCTGAGATTTATGTTTGATGCCGCCCGTGCCAGCAGCAGCAGCAGCAGCAGCAGCAGCAGTAGCAGCTCCTCCTCCTGCATTTCGCGCCGCACGTTTACTTTTGCCCGCTGCCTTTGCTTTTGCAGCTGCCACTCGCGTGGCGAGGTTATCGACTGGCGTTGGCTTTGGCGTTGCATCCACATCCTGTGGCTCGGCGAAATACGGCACCAGCGTGCTGCAGACCCAGCGGCGATAAGCTTCCTGCAAATACATTAGCAGCATTACAAATAGGTTTCACTTATCTGCAACTGGCAAATATCATAAACTTTAATCTGAACATTACATTACATTTTATTTAAATCTTAAAATGGCTGCCACGAGAGGGAAAGAACTTACAGCTGTGCTTTGTGATAAGTTGACGAGATGCAAGCAAAAAATGGCTTAAAGCTTTATACTTTCAGCCGCTTTCGAAGCACATTAAAGCTTAAATTAAGCTTTCACGTACAATACGCAAAGCTCAAGGCGTGACTAATCGACACTTAAGCGAAAAGCTCGTTTAAACTTTAATTGTCAAAGTGCTTTTAAAGCACCTGAGAGCTTAAATTATTTACAAATATTGTCTCTATTATTAAATTCTTTTTTTTTAAAGAAAATGTATTTGCATAGCTTATAAGCTTCTTAACGGCTCATCTAAAATACAATATAATAAAGCTCAAATCTCAAGTAAAGAACATTTTCCTCTACTCTCAATCTGTCCGCATAATCGTAATCCAAAGCACTTTCGACTGGTGTCATCGTGGCTTAATAGAGCTGAAATTGGCTTTGTTCGCTAATAGCACAGAGTTTCTAATCGCATGAGTTATGCCAAAGCAATCGCATTCGATTTATCATTTGCCTGCCGCAGGGTTCCGCGGGCAGAGGGCAAATTTTGCCTGCCATTGAACAACAACAATTAAATTTGTTGAGTGCGTCGCACATTGTGTATACGTGATTTATGTGTTTGTGTTTGTGTGTGTGTGTGTGTGTGTGCGTTGCACGCATTGTGGTTGTTTTTGATAGAATTGTGAATAGCAGGGTAAGGCAAAGGGAAAGGGCGGGAGGTGAACGGGTGCAGCTTAAGTTAAATTCAATTATTGCTGTGTTTGCTGTTTGCACAGCCGGATTTCAGTTTGTTTTCACGTCGAAATAATTGCCATAATTGATTTATACATTCAATGTGGCATTTGCTGTTATTCGGCCTGCATCTTGCAACATTTTGTTGCACTTAACTGCACTTTGGCCAATCAACTGGCACCGCAAATATTTACTTTGTACGCCTTCTGCCAGTTGCTGCGTATTTTTCCCTGCCACTGACCCAAATAAAATGCAACTAAAGTCATGCCAGAGTCCGAGCCAAGTGTCTCCGATATGCAAATAGAGGCGACTCGAAACGGACACGGACACGGACACGGCAGGAGACACAACATTTGATAGCCACAGACGAGAACAAATGGAATTTAGGTGTCCAATGGAGCTGGGAGTCGGTGGCCAGAACGTGCGAAGTTTATTCCCCTGACATTTGCTTTCCTCACACCGCAGACTGTAACCAAAAGCACGTTAGAGTGGGCCAGTTGAATGGGGATTGACTAGAAGATACCCTGTACTCAGCTGCCTATTGAGGTAAGAGAAAATAAAAACATGAATAGCTTCTCAACTCCTGACTAGTTGAAACGAAATCTAAGTTCCCAACTGAAAATATATATTTGTCGATTTTAGGGAATCACAGGGTATACAGAGCAGAGCAAACACCAACCAGATACTGACATATTGGACCAAAAATGCAGTTGAAATATAAAATATACAACAAAAAGCTAACAAAATTCTATGGAGAATACTCTTCTCTTGTTTGCCCAACTACAAATTTGCTGACAAACCAAAGTGCAGCCATGCCACGTCCGATAAGGGGAGTTAGTTCGGAGGTAGATGTGGAGTTAGGATAGGTGTCCTAGTTTCAAGTAAACCTGGCAGTACAATAAAACTGGAGAATGCAACATTTTTTATTGCATTTTCAAATAAAACTTAAGAGACGGGTGTAACCGACTAGGGGATACCCGGAAGCCTCTTCTATCAACACGAGATGGACTTAATACTTTTTAATGGGTAATATAAATGATTTGAAAATGAGGCATGTAATTGATGATCGGAAACAAAAAACATCAGAGTGTTATGTCCCTAGTTCTTAAATTTCATATAGGTTATGCGATCTAAGTGTTCACATAGACGGACAGACGAAGGGACCGACGGACGGTCGGTCAGATGGATATGCCTAGATTGACACGGTTATTGAAGCTGAGCAAGAATTTATGTACTTAATGGGGTCGAAATGATTCAATCTACCCTTTCAAACCATTTTCAATGAGTTTAGGGTACAAAAAAGCGTAGCAACGGAAGCCAGACATTAAAAAATGTTCAGTAACAACTTCGAATATTTGACTTACAATAGTATATTTAATTTTTTGTACATAATTTAGGCATTGCATTTCATTAAGGATTTAAATTGAAAGCCTTAAAGTTGTCTACTTCTCTTATAAACCTTTTTATTGCTTTAAAAGAGAGTTTTTTAAAGTTTCGTATAGTACAATTCAAATATGGTCGCATCTTTGCCCACACCTGTGTTCGCTTGCTTTGTTGCTTATAAAAATCAGTTGACTGACTTTTCTGGTCATACAAAATATGCGAAAAGCTGAGACAGCAAAAACAATGCGCAGTCAGAGACACCTATATATACACACGTAAATATATATATATATATAAATATATGTATGTGGGCGTGGCCGTGCCTGTGAACCCAGCAGCAGCAGCAGCAGCAGCAGCAGCCGCAGCCGCAGCCGCAGCTTGTGGCAAGAAGCAGGGTGGAGGAATTCGCTATCTGGGCATGACCATAAGAAGACAAGGCACCAAATTATTATTTAATTACAAAAAGTATTTTTCATTAATGCTAGACAGAGACGCGTGGCAAAGCGAAAGCGAGGGGGGGGAGGGGGCGGCGGGACGGAGGACAGAGTAAAGTTGAGTACTCTAGACTAAGTGCAACAAGGTCTGTTTTGGGGCACGTTTTCGAGGCACAACTCAATTAGTCGCATGCCGAGCGCGACAAATGCAAGGCCTAATTAGTGGCTGTGCGCAGAGCTAAGGAATAACACAATGAAGGCAGACGAAAATCAGGTGAAGGACACGTGAAATTTAAGTAAAATGCAGTTGAAATGAAATTTCAAATTTATTTGCGAATTTAAATGGGCTGCCACAGCTGACAGAGGGCAACACATCTGGCGTTTCATTCGAGCAGGGCTCAAGGCATTAAGCAGATAACCATAGTCAACAGACACACACACGCACACACACACACACACACATGTGTGTGTATATGTATGTGTTTTATTTTGCCCCTCGGGCCCCTTTTCATTGGACCAAAATCCATTTAAGCTGCGCCTTCATTTAAATGCCAGGCGCAAAAGTCATTCACTCTGCAGACACCGCAGACATCCCACAGCCCACACTCCCACACGCACTCTCCGTCACACTCTCCAGCACTCCTTATCCCCACAATCTGACAGGCCGGCAGCTCAACAACCGCTGCTTGCTGGTGGTTGGGTGGTTTGCGCCTATTGGCGCGGTTCCTGCGTATGCGTGAATTTCGTTTTCGTCCATTACTTTGACATGCACATGCAGCCGGAGAAGAGGGTGGGGAGGGGGCATGAATGGAGGGCGGAACAACCGTGACTGGGACGCCAAGCTATGCGGCATATTGATGCGCATCCGTTACTCATGCCACATAGCATCGCGAAAGGCCCTAAGCCCTTGCCCCTTAACCTGGCCCTTGGCCTGGACGCGTTTGATTGGCTGTGTGGACTTACATTGGCATTCGGATTGACTAAGGGGCGAGGATGCCAGAGGGGGGGCGAGAGGGTGTGGCGAGTTGCAAAATTCAATATTTGGTTAATGATGCGTGTGGCGACACTTGCGTGCAAATTTTACAGGCACGCGACGCGATCGTCCAATAAAAACAATTAATGTCCGAATATTTATGATGGTTACGAATTATAGATTGATATAAAAATTGCCTATGGAATGAAAGAACGAGTGTATAATGCATGTAGATCTATTTACATAGACTTTTCATATTATCATATTTAAATATTTTTATTTCTCAATGCCGTTACGAGCAGAGACAGCAAACACATGTTTGCATTTCAAAAATATCTGCAAGCTTGGCATCTTAATGGCAACTTTTACTGCCTGTCTAAAAAGTAAACAACGACCAGTCATAAACTCGGGGGTTATCGTTTTAATGGGTTAAAGTTGAGCCTCAGGTCAGGGCGATGGGCAGACTGTTGCAACAAAGCAGCCGTAAGACCTTTTGCACTGTGCCCCATGACCGGCCGGCCAATAATTGAATTTCTTTTTATTTATTTTGAAAAAAAAGAAGAAAAATTACACACACAGTTGTTCATAAAAGTTAATGGACGGCTGGCAGAATTGCCTTTATGTTTGACAAATCAAGCAGACATTTTGGCTGCAAGATTTACGACTTCGAATACCGAATAACTATCATAATTTCATGTGTCATTGAACTGTTTCGCAGATAAACAAAGCAAGTCTCGACCGAAAGTCAAAGCTTACGAAGCATGCAATAAAAATATATAAATAATTTGTTGCTACCAATCGACACAACCACCCAACTCACCCCTCAAATCACCCAAGGGGGCTATTCACAGTAGATTTTGTTGTCTGGCTGCGAAACACTGTGCCACAAATGAGCTTAAAATACACTCCCATAAAAAGAAACGTTGCCATGAACTTTGACACGTATGTTAAATGCAATTGAGTGCTGTTAGCTTTCTGTGGGAATTCACAATTTAACTTTTTTTAATACATTTGTATTCTAACAACTAAAATTAGTGTTTCTAACAATTAAAAGCTATCTCGCAACGTTTACCACATATTGCGCTTTAACTGTTTGCGAATTATTAGCAATATATGTGGAAATTGCTTTCAGCATTTGCTGTAAATGGCAGTAAAAACATTTTAGCAATGTTCGGCCATAGCAAAAAAGCTATTTACATTTTGTCAGCTTTTGTTGGCTGCAATTTGAGCTGCATTGTTGGGGCCCAAATTACCAGCTGGACAGTGTAAACACAACGACCACACATAACATAATCAACTTTGTTTGCTTTGCATGAAACTACCCCAGACTCCAGACTCCACTCTACTCCCCTCTCTCA